CCTCCACCCCGGCGGCCCTGCCACTGGGCGCGGGGCCCTCTTAGGCGCAGGGCCCGATTCGGGGGAATTGGTGGAATTGGCCTAAAGCCGGCCCTGCTTTTGAGATACAATAGTGTAAGTTAGGCTCCTTCACTTTAAACTGCTCCAAAAGTATCAAAAATGCAATTCAAAGCAAACCATATAAGACTTCCAAAGGATGTAGTAAATAACATCATTTGGGAATAAGGAAAAGAAGAGCAGAGAATAGCAAATGTTTTGCTGTTATCACTGCCACATTCATGCCTCACTCCTAAAATATTGTTCTTATTTTTATGGTGATTTATGGCTATGATGTCACTGGATCATCCTGACAGTGGATCCCAGTGTCATGAGTCAAAATGCCATTAAATGAATAGTGACACAATCACAAGGCTGCAAACAACTTCTTAAAATCATCATCATCTTTAAGCTTCTGAGCTGAGTCTCAGGGGTCTAGAATGGTGAAATTTGGAGTTTTAGAGCTGTTTATCTTTTCTACTCATAAAAAATAAAACATGGGTATATGCACCCTTGTAAAATTAACATTTCAATGTAATAAAATCACTCAAACAAGGACATTTAGCCTTCTCTCTCTCTCTTTTTTTAAATAATTCCAAAGTGATGTTAACAGAGGCCCTGGCTGAAAACACATTACTGGCTGTTAAATCATCATAATAGCTGCATTGTTCTCTGAGTCAATGCAAAAAGGGATGCTTTTTTTTTTTTAATTTCAGCATTTGACTTCCTGCCCATCATCCAAGTCCCAAAAGTGCTAGACTTAAATTAAATACCAAAGAGATTTTGTACTTTTTATTTGTGGGGCAATCTTTGTGCTCTAGAAGACCAAATTTCTTATTGAATTAAGAAACTCAGCTGCCAAAAGCTAATGAATTTATAGACCTTCTGTAGGCCAACTGCAAATCAAATAGTAAAGAAGGGAGGTCACTTCTCTGAGCAGTTTTCCTGGCTTCTGTGTGGTTTTCTTGTCCTCGGTGTCATGATTTCAGCACAGGAATCTACATCACAATGTGAGATATTTCCCATTTAATATATGTGACTGGAATTTGGATGGTGAGAAAACTGAGACCTCAAAAATAAACACCATGTTTCCTTTACTATCTTTATTTTTTAATAATAAATTAGCATTGAAAATTACTGTATTCAGAGAACCAAAATTGTCTAGTGATTACAGCATAGGACTTGGAGTCTGTGGAGGACTTGAATTTAAGATTTCACCCCTGACCTTTAAACTGAACTGCTGTTGATTTGCTGTGTGTCTTTGGGCAAGCCACATCATCACTCTATGCCTCAGTTTCCCAATCCATAAATTAAGATATTTACTTAACATGTGAGACTTAAACTGTCAGGGTCTGAGCCACACCCCCTTGTCATTAATGGAAAGACTCAGATAGATGGCATTTTGCTTTGGATCAGGCCCTTAATGCTTGCAAAAGAGCGCTGAGATCCTCCCATGGAAGATGCTGTAGAAGTGCTAAATATTATTAAAGAGTTCTGAAGAAAGTTAGAAAAGTAAACTATTTTACTAAGAGCCAGAAATTAATTGTACTGAGCTTAATTGAAACTACATGAGTAAATGGATAGAGAAATGAACAGTTCTCTCTGGTTTCCAAATAATAATAATAATGATTAGAAAACTTTGCACTTATATAAACTCATAGGGAGTTTACAGAAACATCACTTTCCTCAATAGACTAGCAAGTTGTATTACTTAGTGATAGAGCACAGGGCTGGGACTCAGGAGACCAGGGTTCCATTCCTGGCTCTGCCACTGACCCGCTGGATGACCCCAGGCAAGCCACTTCACCTCTCTGTGCTTCAGTCGTCCCATCTGTAAAATGGGGATAATGATACTGAGCTCTTTTGTAGAGTCTTTTGAGATCCACTGAAAAGTGCTATGTAACAGTTTGGTATTATTTATTTACTTGAATTTCAGCAAAACAAAAAGGGCCTGTCTAAGATGTCTAGGCATCTTTGGCATATATTAAAAATACAGACCAATTGAGACCCTGATTCAGCAAAAGAATTAACTATGTGCATAACGTCAAGCACACAAGTAATCCCATTGATTTTAACTGAGACTACTCACATGCTTAATGTTACATTTGTGCTTTGTGAGATTGGGGCCTCACACAACAACAAATAGATGGAGATGTTTTCTCAAACTAAAAGGGGAGAAAAAGAGTCCCCACTCCACCCAGTCGTGGTCAGGGCCTCATTGTGCTAGATACTGTACAAACACATCAGAGACATGCACTGTGATCTAAGGAATGCAAGACAAGAAACAGCCAGTGAGTGTAACAAATTATTGGGGAGAGAGATGGGGAGACACTTCACAGCAATATTCTCTGTGACTTGTTGGCTTTTTTAAACTACCACCATCAGAAGCACCCAGACTTTCTTTATAACTTTTAAATTCACTATGCATGCTAATTCCTGCAGAGCCCAAGTAGAATTTTCTTGGGAGGAGTAGAGTCTGTGGGTTATCTCAGAATTTAAAAAAATGTGATATTTCTCTTTAATGCAGCCCGTTGTATCAAAGACATCATCAAATTCTTCTGGTTCATTTAGATCACACACAACTTCCATTGTGTGTCCGATCAGTCGTAATTCTTCATAAATGTTCAGCCCTAATACAGCCTGTGCTTCCAGACTCTCAGTCATAAAAGCAATTGATATATATATATATTGGGTTACTGGGATATCAACATTTGAGTATTTTTATATATATTTATTTATTTATTTATATATATATAAAAATACTCAAATGTTGATATCCCAGTAACCCAATA